AGATGCTGCCAGACCTGCTGAGCTTTTCCCGCAACTTCTGTTTTAGTTCCTGATTTAAAGCATCCTCAGTTCTTTCAGTTTTTAATTAATTAATGGCTTTGTTTCCCGTTATATCCCAGAATGTAAAGTGAGCTGCTGTCTCATGAGAGAGAGATGACTGGTAGTGGTTTAACCTGAGGATTACCACACCTCGGGCGAGGGGAGAGGTTGAGAAGGTGGGACCTTCATGGTGACATCAACCAGTATTGGAATTGAACATGAACTTTTAGGGTCACTCTGCATCACAAATGAGCTATCCAGCCAACTGAGCTAATCAACCCCCATCTCCCAGAATAACATTGTGTGGAAAATGATAACAGTTTACATCAAAAGAACAACAGATAAATAGGTGAGAACGATGTGTTAGATAAAATGGTTTTTCAAAAAATTTTCCCAAAGACCTTCCGTAATCTACCACAAAGTAGATTTATGACTAAAGTCAGAATATGTGGAGTCCATGGGCCAGTATATATAATGGACAATGAGCTGGCTACAAAATGAGCCAGAGAGCATAGGTTAAAGACAGTTACTTAGACTGGCAAAAGGTGTGCGATAATATTCCAGTTGCATCAGTACTGACACTGTTGTGGTTCACAATTCTTTCGCAATTTAGACACTGTTACTGGAGCTACAATTTCAAACTTTTCAACGATCAATTTGTGGATTAAAAGACTAACGAAATACAGGAAGACAGGCAGAAATGACATATAATTGGTAAATGAACTTCAATATGGAGGCACATGATGGTAGGCAGCAGAAGAAAGCTCCGTGTCCCTTGGAAGATGAGTCTCTGCACAGGATAGAAGAGCAGAAGGACTGAGTTCAGGGGTGGTGTAAGAAATGTGTGTATTTATTGCCTCTGGTTGTTCACATCCTATACCTTTTGTGTGTACTTCAGGTTCTGATTGCCCAATACGACAGCTACATTGAGATGCAGCGATGCACAGGCGCAAGTGGAGAACGAGACAGGCAGTCCCGCCTTCCAGCCTCGCGCGGGAGCCTACTCCTGGAGCAGGAGAAGCAGCGGAATGTCGAGAAACAGCGCGAGGAATGGGCTAATGTGCAGAAGCTGCAGAACCAGGTGCGGCAGGAACAGCAGAAATGGGAGCGGGATCGCGAGCGCCAGAAGCGTGAGCTCGATGCTCAGGAGGCTCGGCTCCAGGAACGTGAGAAATCCTTGCAGCAGCTGACGGAGCGGTTAGCCCACGACAAGGAAGAGTTGGAACGACAGCGGCAGGAATACCAACAGGACCTGGAACGTCTCCGAGAGTCCCAGCGAACGGTGGAAAAAGACAGGGAACGCCTGGAGCAACGACAGCGGAAGCAATTAAAACACAACACAGTCCTGTTTCCAACAGAACCTGGGCAGGTAATTCAGTGGGGTTTCTCTGGGATGGCAGCTTGATCAGATGCTGGCTGTGGGTCAGTGTGTGTGTGGGAGTCAGACGATCACAGCTACAATGTTCCATTGTAGACAGTTGAGCCAGAAATCTAGAACAGCAGGGTAGTGAGTGAGTGCAGCACTATCTGAGGTACCGTCTTCAGAAGAGATGTCAACCCAGGCCCCACTTTTGGACATGATTTCAAATGGCACTGTCTTGAAGAAAAACAAGGAATTTTTCCCCAGTATTTATTCTCAATAAATATGCTCAATATTTATTCTGCCATTGGTATCACTGAAAATGGATTTTCTGGTTATCATTGTGTTGATGTTTGTGGGAGTTCACTGTGTGAAAATTAGCTGCCGTGTTTCCTATATTGCAGCAGTGACTACATCACACAGTGCTTGGATACATGAAAGGTGCTATTAAACGCAAGCCTTGCTCCTCATGTCTTGAATCTCTGTTCTTCTCTGCTAAAGATGCTGATTCTTGCTGGGTCCCTGCTCGGATACTAGTAAGCTAATCAACAGCAGGAATCTCCCTGCATAGAAATTAACCTTGTTCTCAGGTCTCCTGAACCTGCTACCTTTGGTGTTGCAATTGTCATGTACCTTGGACTGTACACAACCTGAATAAAGAAATTAGACCTGCATTGTTATTTAGGACTGATTTCTTTTTTTAAAATGAAAAGCACTTGCTTCTGTAGTGTCTTTCAAAGTCAGAAAATGCTTCACAACTAGTGAAGCAGGTTTGAAGCGCAGCCACTGTTGTAATATAGGAAGTACAGCAGCCAACTCCCCAGAAGCAGTGGAGCATCTGTGGAGATAGAAAAAGGTTCAACATTGAGCCCCAGTATGATTCTTTAGAATTCTTCATTTAATAATTTTAAGACCAAGGGAGGGAGATTCTTGACTAATGAGGAACGAAATATCGTTAGCAGAGGTTTGGACTCGATGAGCTGTGATTTTGTTGAGTGGCGAACAGGAGAGGAGCTGAGATGACAAGGTGCAGGGCTGGATGAACACAGCAGGCCAAGCAGCATCATAGGAGCAGGAAGGCTGACGTTTCGGGCCTAGACCCTTCATCAGAAAAAAAGTTACCTAGTCTTAATTGATATTGTTTGTATTGTAGCTTTATTTTTGTGTAATTTTACTGGCTGAATATACTGACCAGTGAGATAGAGTTACATGGAGCAGAGTGCTAACTGACCAAGGCTCCTCTGATAGCACCTTTCAAACCCACAACCTTGACCATCAAAATGCCAAGGGGAGAAGATAGATGGGGAACACCATCACCTGCAAGTTCCCCTCCAAGCCACTCACTGTCCTGATTTAAATATATAACTGTTCCTTTAGTGTCACTGAAAACTGACACTCCTTTCTTCCCTGCAGGCCCTTTAACTCCCAAGGATGGCAACTATTCAAGAAGGCAGCTCACCACTGGCCTTCTCCAGAGCAATTAGGGATGGGGTGGCCTAGCTAGCATTGTCTATATCCCATGAGCAAGTAATAAATAAAACTATTGTCCCATTGTCTGATCTGCAGGGAGGTTCATTTGACCTGAGTTGGGAGGCAGTGTGACTGCTACAACTTATCCCACATTTCTCAAAGGTGGGGGGAATAAACACTTGCATTTATTTGGCACTTTTCATGACTGCCGGGTGTCCTAAAGAGTCCTACACAGAAGGAGGCATTGCTGAAGTGTTGTAATGTAGGATGCAAGGCAACCAATTTGTGCACAGGAAGCTCCCACAAACAGCAGTTTGTTTGACCACAATCTCTTTATGTTGTTTGAGGTATTATATGTCCACTAGAGCATACAGGTGTGAAGCCTCAATTTAACGCTTCACCTGAAAGTTGGTTCATCTGTTAGTGCAGTACTGAGGGAGTGCTACATCAGAATATCAGCTTTGTGCTCATATTCTGGATTGGTGCTCGAACCCAGAACCTTGTGACTTAGAGCTGGCAAAAGAGAGAAATAACTGGAATTGTTGCTGCAAAATGTCATTGGGTGACCTGCCAAATAGGCCTATATATACCGAATTGGAAAATGGGTTTGTTGTGGATAGAGGTAAAGGCCCACTAGGGGGCAGTAATGGCTCTTTAATAAGAAGAATGGAAAGGTTTGGTAATTCAGCATTACATGGTGTATCAATGTGGAATAGTTAATCAGTGTAAGGGTTAAAAATTGACTCTGGGGTTTAGCTGCTAACGAGTAATTAAAGAATGTTCATCCTTAACAAACGATGCTTTCACTGAAGTTGCACTTCAGTTTCACTTTGTGCATTTTATACACAGAGGCTGGCTGTTTCGTTTCCTTGCCTTTGTAAATATGAACGTTCATTTTTATATACTGTATCTCAAATCCCATTTGTAACTTACCTCAAAGGGCCGGAACCTCATTTGGAATAGTATGAGCAGTTTAGCTAAAGAAAAGTGTTCTGGGATTGGTAACAGTCCAGGGAAGATTCACTGATATCAGGTGTGGAGAAATTGTTTTAAGGAGAAGTGGAGTAGGTAGGGCCTGTACTCATTGGAGTTTCAAAGAATGAGAGGCAAGCTAATAGAAATATGGGATTCTTGAGGGGCTTGACAGGGTTGATGCAGCAATGTTGTTTCCCCTTGTGAGAGACCCCAGGACCAGAGGCTTGATCTCAGAATAAAGGGGTGCATATTTAAGACAAATGAGGAATTTCTGTGAAGGTAATGAATCTGTAGAATTTGTTTTACTGCAGAGGGCTGTCAAGGCTGGATTGTTAATTATATTCAAAGCTGAAGTTGACAGATTTTTTTAATCCTTAGAGTATTAAGGGTTACAGGGAAAAGGCAGGCAAGTGGGATGGAGGATTATCAGATCAGCCATGATCCCATTGAATGGCGCAGCAGATTCAATGGGCTGATGGCCTACCTCTGTCTTATGAACTTGAAAGGTGAGAGCGTCTTTGGAAGCAGAGCCACAGGTGAGTTTTCTGTTCGCCAGTTGTTCCTGCTGTGGGCCATTTTCTCAGTCAAAGCCCAGTTTCTCAATGAAGGCCATTGCACTGAGAAATGTGAGGTTTGTTGAGCCTTCAGATAAGCACAGTCCAAATAGATTACTGCTGATTGGCATGCCTTGGACTCATGCCATATGTCTGTTAGATCCCAGGCTTTCCTCCTGTTGATGGAGACCGAATGGAAGTGACCCCCATACTGTTGAATGAAGGAGGAATGGCCCAGCAAAGCCTGAAGTACCATGGCCAGCCGAGTGTGGTGGTGGCAGAACTCGGTGAGCGGTCTGCTGACACTCCACTTCAGAGGGAGAACAGCACTGCCTCGATGTTTGCGAGAACTGAGAATAGATCTTCCCTTATCCCAAAGACAGACGTACCCATCCACCTCCTGAGTGCCACCAATCAAATCCTGAAACAGACTGGAGTGCAGCAGAAAATTCCCACCAAACTTGCCACCTTGAAAGGAGGCAAGGAGAAGAGTGGGAAAGGAAAGGATCGACAGTCCTCCATTTCAGGCATGGCCTCTTTCTCAACTCCACATGGCACAGGTAAAACTCAATGTCTTCTTACCTATTTACCTGTAGGTGGTCCATATCCCTATAAACCTTTCCTATTCATATCCCTGTCCAAATGGTTTTTAAATGTTGTAATTGTACCTGCATCTACCACTTCCTCTGGCAGTTCATTCCATATATGCACCACCTTTTTGTGAAAAAGTTGCCCCTCAGGTTCCTTTTAAATCTTTTCCCCCTCACCTTGGGGACACGATGGCCTAGTGGTATTATTGCTGGACTGCTAATCTCGAGACCCGGATTATGTTCAAATGGGTTTGAATCCAGTAACGGCAGATGGTGGGATTTGAATTCAATGATAACAAAATTTTGAATTAAGAGTCTAATGAAGACCATGAATCCATTGTTGATTGTTGGAAAAAACCCATCTGGTTCATTTAATGTCCTTTAGGGAAGGAAACTGCAATCCTCACCTGGTCTGGCTATGTGTGACTCCAGACCCACAGCGATGTGGTCGACTCTGAACTGCCCTCTGGGCAATTAGGGATGGGCAATAAATGCTGCCAAGCCAGCAAGGACCCCACCTCATAAACGAATATTTTAAAAAAGAACTTAAACCTATGCTCTCCCTCTACCCTATCAATGCCCCTCATGATTTTATAAGCCTCTATAAGGTCACCCCTCCACCTCCTATGCCCCAGGGAAAAAGCCCCAGCCTCTCATGAGTCAAACCCTTTAGTCTGGCAGCATCTTTGTAAATCTTTCCTGTGCCCTTTCCAATTTAATAATAATCTTGCTATTCAAATTTGAGTTGGTATTTCGTTTACCAGTTTTAGTATCAAAGGGTGGACTCCTTGCTGGACTTCAGTTCAAGGCTGGCTTAGCTCCCAGCTACTTCACCAAGTGTCCGTATATTTACGTTGAGAGTGCTCTTTCCTCTCTTTTTATATACCAACGCATGTGCACTTTCAAGTGAAGAGCTGAAGAATGTTTACGGGTGACACATGGTCTATTGGAGTGAAACCACCAGTCTTTCCCACTTGAAGTCCAGCCCTCTGTTACCCTAACTATCATTGAAGCCACTCGTTCCCCTACCCTAATCCCCTCAAAATCCATCCCATTCCTAGGACAACAGTCTCCTCAAAACCAGTCAGTATGGGACAGGGTCCTAACTTTTCCCTGGATGACCATCTGGCTCGTGCTGCATGTTGCTCTGTATTACGCTTTTGAGATTCTGCCATCATTTGTGGTTTTGGAAAGGTGTAACTTTACTCCAGCTGGCAAACTGTTTCAAATATTTATACATTCTTTATATAATTTCAGTATTTCTGGTGTTCTAGCACTACCTTGTTTGTTCTGCACCACTTAATATTTTAGATAACTCAGTGAATGTCTCCTGCAGTTACTACCCTTACAGTCTGAACTGTAGTACCCAGTCAGAACCATAGCTCCCCTGTCTCCTAACCAAATAAATGCAGTCACTGTCTCTCACCCACTCCTGCCCCCAAATTAATGACGTCACCATCTCTGGAACCCCCACCCCCATAAAAGTCAACACCATCGAATTAGCAAAGTTGTTATCATTCCCCAAAACTGACCCATGTTTCCAACATCCACATGTCCCAATCCTGACACCATCTGCCCTGGTCCCACCTGAAAGATCCACTTAATGATGCCTCTCAAACCAATGACCCTTATAGAATACAGTACCACTGCCCCCACCATTGGCTCTGGCAAGAATCTCCTTCAGTCTCCCCCATCAGTTTTTTTTAACCTCAATTTTTTTTAAACCAGTTTTGATTTTGCACTGACCACACATTTGGCTCTTGACTTGCTTGTCATTTAGGTTCATTTAAGTCTTTCGTGGGGAACCTTGCCAGAAATCTAAAACAAGATCATAGGGAGTGTTATCACCTGCTTTAACCACAATATCCTCAGGGTGTCTAAGGTTTGTAAACCATAGTATAGAAATGAGGAGCAGGAGCCCTGGCTGAGCTTTATCCTCCCTATCCCAGAGCACTGCAGGAGATCACAGTGGCCCATTGTTGCCTCAACTGAGATCCAGAAACTTGGAAAAGTCCAGTGCATGGAACATCTCTTTCAAAAACAAAATGGGCTGTCCACTCCTGGCTGCCTGCCCAAGCCAACGCTGTTGCAGTGAGGGCAGCATTTTGTCGGGATCTGTTGAGTTGTTAATTAGCTCAATTAACCTTTTAATTATTTATTTAAATGTGTTTGGCAGCACTCCCCCCCCCCCCCCCCCCCCCCCACCACCACCCCCAAACTCTGCTGTGGAGGGAAGTCAGGGGTGGGGAGGTAGGTACCTGCCCTCTCCTACACTTGGTGAAAAACTGTGTGGCAGGGGCTTTTAAAGCACATCTCATTGTGACTTTGGATGGTCTGATTCAGTTCCACGATGAACCTGTCCCTTTATTCTTTTCATCTATTCCTTCCTTCTGCTCCCTGTTCCTTTTTTTTTCCTCCTCTTATCCCTTAATCCGTGAATTAAATAATTGCTCTCCTTTTTAGGGTCAGTCAGTGGAGACGTCCAGCAAAACAACCCACTGAAGTTCCTCACCAAGGATGATGGGACACTGAGAGGCAGGAGATCCTCAAGTCCGGTGATATCAAGCAGCCAAAGTTTCTCCCACCAAGGTGAAGCTCCACTTGTTCAGTCTGTCGGTACTCGGCCAGACAAATACTTATGTTAGAGAAGCCAGCCTTTTGAACTTTCCCAATCAATGTTGGTGTAATCCTAATATCATGTGCCTGCCCTGTTTCCAGATCTCTGATTCATTCAACTACTTAAGTAACCTATTGTTAGAAACACAGACAACTTCAGCGTTCACCACTTCTGTGGAAGTTCTGTACAGATTGCTGCTCGAACAAGGGGTTCAGTTTGGTGTTTATCCTTCACACAAATCATGTCCTAATCCAATGTAGCCAGTGATTCTGTTTTCTTTTATTCCTCTGTTTTAGACACATGGCAGTCCCCTTCTTAAATGCTGTCTTGATCTCTCCTTCATTTGTCAACTCGGTATGCCAAAAGTTTATATTAAAGATTTTGAACCCCTCTGTCCTAAATTTTCCATATTTAATGTTGTAATCCCTTGCCAAAGCTGCTGAATTACCTGTACAGCCCCAACTTCTCATAATTTTCAGTAGCCCCATTAAAATTACTTGGTAGTCTCCCCTACCTCCAGAACAGCCCTGCTTTTCCCACATCTTTCTTTGCATTTGTGCATCCTTGACCCAACTCCTCCTCTCATCTTACCCTCGACAACTGTCCCCCATTCTCATAACCAGCATTTTGTCTTGAATGTTTTGTGACATTCCTTCATGCCTTACTTTGACCCTGATATGAAGTTTGCATCAATATTTAGCACCTCTCACAGTCCATTGTGCTTTCCATGACTTGCTTTGAAATACAGTCTTTATGCTGCTGTTTGCTTATTGAGATTGCACAAGTAATGACATGCCTTAAGCCCTCCATCAGACAATGCATACTACATCCCCTAGCCGGTAACTAATCTCTGTTCTCTGCAGTTCCATCACCAAACCTTTAGGAAAGTTCTTCTTGTTTTGGTTAGGACTTTGAAAGTCTCAAAGTACCTCTTCAATCGTGTCTTTGGTCACCTTTTCTAAATCGTCTGCTTCCTGTTTAGTGTCATGATACTCTGTTTTGCACACCCACTGCAAAGTAGCTTGAAACAGGTACTTTATAAATGTGACTTGGTTTGATTTTAGTAGACTGTTAAAATGTTCGGAAACGGGAGTTCTGCTTGCCACTGTCTCAGCCATCACGACAGCCTTGCTTTAAGCCCGTTACTGTTACCAACTATGTGTAAAATGGTTGTCAAGTTTACTCTCGGGGCCTCCTCCATAGCCCAGAAATAGCTCATTGTGTGTGACTGTTTGAGACATTTTCAATGCATCAGTGATATGTATTCTTTTTAAAAGTGAAAATAATTTCCTCGGTCACTGGGGCTGTGTAAGTGCCATCGCTGGACTAACAAACCAGTATTTTATCAGAAGTACACTTTGTGCTTTCTCTTATTTTCTTTATCATGTTGCTCCTGAATCTCATGTCTCACATGGCCACTAGAGAGTTGAACTCACTAAGCTCCTTCCTAAAGTGGGTTGGTAGGACTCTGTATGTTGCTGCGGTGTTTTTGGGAAGTGATGGCCTCTGGCAGCCATTTTATATTTAGGATGAAAAAGAAATTTGTTTTAAAAATTCTTCATAACACATGGGCGCCACTGCCATGGGTGACAATTATTGCCTATTCCTAATTCTCCTTGAACTGAGCGACGTACTGCTCAGTTTTAGAGAGCAGTCAGGTGTCAACCAAACTGTTGTGGCCTCAAGTCACATGTAAGTCAGACCAGGTAAGCTTATAGATTTCTTCCCTAAAGGATATTAGTTAACCAAATGGGTTTTTTGATACTTGTCATAAGCACCGCCACTGACTAGCTTTTTAAATTCCAGATTTATTCATGGAGTTTAAATAGCATGGTGCTTTGGTGGGCCTAGGGACCTGGATTACTAGTTCAGCGACACTCCCAGTGTACTGCCATCTCCCTGTCGGTGAAGGGTTGTGGGAAACACTACAAGTAGTTTACTTGATTTAACCAAAGCTTGCTTTTCCTGTCCTAGAATCCTCGGTCCCTGTGGATGTTCAGCGCGAGCCACAGCAAGTGTTAAGCACGTCAACAACAAGCGGAAATGCACAGCCCCAGAGTGCGCCAGTGACTCAACAGCCAACACCACAGAGAGTGCAGGATGAATCTGGCACTGAAATCATTTTCTTCTGAACTGGACTGACAGCCGAAGAAGATCCAGTGCAGTCATTGGCAGACACGGGAAGCCCAGAAACTCTCACAGTAACGAATAGGGGGAGAGAGGGAGCTGCTTGGCACTGATGATGGAAATGGAAACAGTTTGAAACATTGCCAGTAATCTCCCAGACAAGTGTACTTGAATTGCGCTCGAAACTGAGAGGGGCCCAATGTTAGGACCGGAACCTGACTGTCTGGCACATCATTACCAGCAACAACTTGTCTTTATCTCTACTATTTCTGGGAGGGAGGGTCTTTCTTTTAGAAACCATCATGACTGTTGCACATGTCTCTTGACCTGTTATCAGGAGATTTAGTCTGGATGTTACTGCCACTCATGTTTGAAAGTGTGCGCAGTAATTAAGGGTGTTTTTGCCAGTGCGAGTCACAATTGGACACTGGATCTGCGAGATGTGGCAGAATGGGGGTTGCTATGGACTGTCCACACTTCCCTTCCCTCTCCCCTCCCCCTTGCTGAATTTGCAAACACAATACATACAACTTTTCTAACAGTAGGGACTGCTGAATAGAAACCCCTTTCCATGTGTCAGAAATTGGGAATGTCTTTAGGGCAGTAATTTTTTTTTAATGATTCCATGACTTTTTAAAAAATGTGTTTTTAATTCATCCGATGGGGGTGGGGGGTGGTGCGGGGGCGCATGTTATACTGCAATGATATGCAATGCCAGGGCATGTGCATCCCAGCTGGAGGACAATACATCGAATTAGCACGGGGGATATCTCCTGATTATTTGATGGCTGATTAAGGTGCTGAGGGAGTTGAGGCAGAAGACAGTGAGAAGTTTGGATTTGGGTAAAAAAGAACTTCACTGGGTATTCCAAAATATTATCGGAGTTCTGTTAAAATCACTGATCTTTTCTGTAATGATTCACTTGCTCTGTTGGTTAATGGTATTTGGGGGGGACCAATTATGTTGAGCAATTATTTTGTAATCTGACCTTTTGTAGCCATAAGAAATCTACTGCTAAAGCGAGACAGTGGGATTCTTGAAATTGGCCAAGCTTTTGCCATGGATCAAAGAGAATATCGTGGAGATTTATTTGGTGGTTTTATTCCTGTGTAGGGAGTGGATAGGTTGACTCTATTCTAGATCACGATTGTATAGACTGATTTAGGTGGAGTATATTTTAAATTCTTATTTCATTATGTTGGAGCTTTGTCAAACTAACCAATGACATCCAAACCCCAGAAATGATTTTTTTCTTTCCTTTTATTTTTGTTTGGATTTCTCTCGTTTGCTTTTTGAGGTTGCAGTACTCACCTGAGTCACTCGGGCTTTTGTGATAGAGAACTGAAGCTGTGACAGAAACAGCAGGTCCTGTTCACACCTTGGGTGTGAAGGTTTTGACATGAGATAATGACTAAGCATATCAGTAACAGGAAATGCTTTTGCCTTTTATTGCCAGCGTTGGAAGCCAAAAGTTTTATGAAGCATCTGTGCATGGGCACATGAGGTGGTCTCCATGGTGGCTCTCCAGGTCAGGCCCTGAATAAGTCATCAACTGTTGACCATTGTCTACTGGGATAGTGAGACTTGTAAAGCGTGTAGTGACTGTTCTTGAATTTCTGAGTTTGCAACCTCTTACTAGCCAAAATTATCCTTTGACCCAAAACACGGAGTCTGTCTGTCTGTCTGTGACTGGCATAACAGGAAAGAAGCCAAGAAACCAAGAAGCAAAGTGAAAATAATCAGAGGTCATGCAGAAATCAAAAGCCAGGAGCATAGATAGAACAAGCAATGGCTCAGTGCTGCTTCAGGTACCCATACCAATCCAAGCCTCTTGTTCGGTCTTCATGTGTAGTGTTGTTATGTGAGAATAGCATAGTTAAACATATTTGGGTAAAGATCATTTGGCCCATTAAATGTTATCTTTCAGGACTGTGTGCATTCTGGGCTGTCTGTGTAGTTTACATATGCCTTTTGTTCAGTGTTGTTTGTCTTTCCTGTCCTGAAACTCTTGTCTCTTCCTGTGGTTAAGGTCCCACCAGCTACCCATCTAGCATCTCAGTAAAGCAGCCATTCTCTTTGTGAGAGTGGCAGGAGACTCTCCTACTGTGGATCCTGTCTTCAGTCCTTGTACTGTCCAACAGAGATCATCGGAGGTGCAAAGCTTTCTTTAATCCTTTTTAAAGTTAGGGAAACACCAAGGCTCATTGTAATGTTCTCCCTTCCCAACTGGCTCAGTCTCCGTACAAACTTAACAATTACATCTCACTTTCACTGAGCAGTCTAACTTACATAATAGGTCCTCTGTACCATCTCCTGAATAGATTGCTGCTAAAAAAGGGTTTTGTTTAATGCTGTCAAATGCCAATGAATGCAAATTAAAGGGCACAAACCAAATTTAATGATGTTAACTTCTTGTTTGTGCATGTATTTTTACAGATATATCTTGTACAAATGTACATCTCCTTTCAATACGTCTACAAGCAGCCTGTTAATTTTCACTCCAAAATATGGGGAATGTATTAGCTGCAGTGTGCCTTACTAGTTTATTCCTATTAGGTTTAAGGGACTTGCTTTTGTTGGTTGCATTGATATGAACCAGTAAAGGGCTATTGAAGTCAGCAGGCCAAGCCTGGGCTATTCCGAGGTTGTTTCCTCTGAGAAAATGCAAAAGGAAGTATTGAGTATTCCTCCAATCAGTGCTGAATTGTTGATTTTAAGGTTTACAGGTGTTATGTGAGGAAATAGCCTCCAATTCCACATATTTAATACAACAAACCAAACAGGTCTGCATTGTCTCTGAAGAGTCTGGGTTGTGATGTAGATGCTATCAGGACAGGTTCAAACAAACAGGCTGTGGAGGGCAGAGAAAACCGTTGAACTGGAGCTTCTGTGTGGATGACATAAGCTTGTGCAGAACGTATGTGTGAAGTGTTCGTACTGAGAGTGGGAAAGCACCTTTCAGCTTCCGCTAGGAGGAATGTGAAGATATTGAACTTTGCTGGCACAGTGGGCCTGAGGGAGGGACGGGATCCAATGGTTAGATTTAATTTGACTTCTCTTTCCCTGCAACCCCACTCCCAGGTGTCATCTCCTCTCTTTCCCACCCCACTCTCCATCTTAAAGCTCACCTAGCACAGTCAGGTCAATGAGTTAAAGCTTTTAGTTTGGGCAGAGTTTGAGTCTGCATAACCACTTATTCTCAAAATAGAGTTTTTCCCAACCCTAGTCTGATTCCAGAAAGTTATTTTAGGCAGGTAAAAACACTTTTCAAAATATTGAGAAGAGAGTTAACCACTAGAAATATCTTAAACTTTTCACTTTTGAGTGGGTTCTTCCAATTTGCACTGGAGCATGGTTTCTTATTCCAATTTGTTTATAGCTGGTTATTCTGTCCGAAATGTGTAGTAGTTAAATTTTTTTAAGGTCACAGAGCACTTTAATGCACTCTAAATTGTTACTGTACTTTGTATCTGAGGATTAAGAAGTGGAAATCATGAAAAAGGCCAAGGAACGCAACCTCAAACATTCCACCAATGGATGCAGTCATGTGACTATGGTCTGATCACATGATATCTTGGCCATGTGATGGGTTTCTTAGAGGTAACACACCTCTGTATTAATGGACCTATGCAATATTCAGTCATTTCCTGCAAGGCTGTGGGCTCAGCCCTGTTTATTATTTCATGTCTTGTCACTAGGGACTCAAGTCTCCATTCTAACACACACAAAAATCAGTGCCAATTGAACCTTGCTAGAGATTTAGAGATTACTTCTCTCAGATGTTGAGGGAAAAGATGTGTTAGGTTGGTTGAGAGGGACAGTGGTGGAGTGGATAGTGTTCAAGGACATTTAATATTGATGGAGTTACCAGTCACTGATGTTCTGGTTCCCCATGGGCTCCAAGGATGCCATTCCTTTGGCACTCTGGCACCTGGTGTGTTGAGGCTCTGAGCTAGGGGGTCTCCTTATTGCAAGTTTAAATCCTGTAGGGTGAGTATGTAGGGGCAGGGAGTGAGATTGTTGATTGAGTTTCAATGAAATTCTGTTCATTGTGAAATCCTTTTGAGCACCTTATTGCTACATGCCAGGAGATCTTGGTGTTAATGGAATTGGCTTTTGTTTTAGAATCACACTTAGGATTTTACTAATTTCTAGAAGCAGTGGTTAAGCTGGAAGACTGGTTACTGATGGGGAAAGCACAGTTTCCAGTCGACTCCCTCCAACGATTACTTTGTCAGTACCTCGTTTTCCAGAGAGAGGCTCAAATAAGAATATTACACAATGCTAATGAATTCAAGCATGGCTTTCCTTGTAATTTTTCTCTCTCTTTAAAAGAAATGGTGTAAATTTGCCAAAGGATAAATTGATTTGTTTTTATCTCTCTCTCGGCTGCACACCTTTAAAATCAAAATCTGCTCTTGTGGCAGAAGATTCAACCCTTTAGAGCTGCCAGCAAAAATTCAACTCTCTCGACCCTCAGGCACAGGTCCTCGTACTCCGAGCCACCCAGATAAGATTCTTTGCCCGTATCTGTTCTGTTCTGGTCTGTGCTGTCCTCAGTCTGGTCAGCCCCCAACGTACAAGTTGCATTAGTGGTCACTAGCTATGCTGGGGTGAAGTGGGGTGTAGTGGAATCTAGAGCTGTCACCCCTCACCGCTGGGTGACTTCCAATGAAAACCAGAGGCAGCTTGAGGTCATACCCAGCCAACCTTTGCTCTTGAGTCTCCCCTCGGGTGTTGTACAAGAATGATGCCTGATTACCGTGGAGTTGCATCTTAATAGGAGCCAAGGCAGGCAGATTGGATAAAACACCACCTTTTATACGTAGATGGCAGAATGGAATCTGGGGTATCTCCAAGAGGGCTATGCAGAGAGCATGAGACACTTTGATATCCCTGCAGTACTTCAAATAATGAGAAATATTACCAGCCTTCCAAGTGAACCAATTAGCAATCCAGCAAACTGACAAGTAACCTGTCATTGCATCAGCCCATCTCCACTACATTCAGTATTAATGCTAAATCTGATGATGGCAAAGCAGCTGTGTTACTGCAGTTAAGGCAGTGTGACCTTAAGGTCTCTGTGCTTCCTGATCACCATGTGCAGGCTAGGCATGTTACTGTTGTCTCTTGTGTTTCTGGGGTTTAGTGGGGGTATGTGGAGAAAGGGCTTCCCCCTGCTGATCACCGACAAGAAACGCCTGCTGTGCTATTGAGCAAGGCCATTCAGCAAATGACCATCCTGTTGGAGCTGCCTTGTCTGCTTGGGAGAGAAGTGACTGGGGTTTAGGTGGGTATCCAGCTGTGACCACACATTGGTGTCTCCAGAAAATGTTGAGAGAAAATTGGCAGAGTGCACAAGCTGTCTTCCTAATGTGCACAATGTCCCTCCTAATCCTGTGTAACCACCCCTACAACCACAGCTAATACAGTAAAGACTCAGGTCCTGGACTGTTGTTTATAGTGTAAAATCATCAGATTCTGTTTAGACTACAACATTTAGTGAAAAGGGTTTGGGGGTGGGTGGGGTTGAAGTATTATTGATTTTGATTGATCATGTTAGGCTGTATACATTGTACATAGTTTCAGATCTGTCCTGTCACTGACTGCCAGTAACTGTGTTGACAGGACCTTGTAGTTAATTTTGTTACATGTTGTAAAATTTAAATGGGAAAAGAAACTGTTGATATTCTGTCTGAATTGTGCACCTCCAATGTCTTTAAAGAATTGTAAACAAGATTGTAGCACATCGAACAATTTGTTTTTATGATGGATCATTATTCTTGGCAATATAAAGAGCTGCCTAGAACGGACCTGATACCAGCAATAAAGAAAAATCCTTGTTTATATTCACTGCTGGCTGTGTGTAATCGTTGTGATTGGGTTAGAGCTAATAGTGTCTGCTCATGGCTGCTTTATACGTAGAAACCTTTTAGGAACGTCAGAAATAGGACCAGGTTAAGGCCACTCAATCCTTCAATTCTGATTCGTCGTTCAGTAAGGTCATGGATGAACTTTGATCTGGACTCCTTTCCTCTTTTGGTGTTTGAGTGTTCAAAGGTAATTCACTCAGCCTTGAATATGCTTAGCATATGCACCCACAGGTCCCATGTTCAGAATTCCCAAATTCCCAGCCCTAAGTGAAGAAATTTCTCTTTATCTTAGTCCCCGTATGGCTGCTTCCTCGAGCAGTTGACTGCTTGCTGCCTATGATCTCTCTCTTCCCCCAGTCCTGCTCTCTAACCAGGTAGGGTGTGAGCTACATTTTAGCATCTCCTTCTGTTTTTGTTTCAGATCTTCAGCATCTGCAGTTCTGATTATATCAAACTGAAATAGCTGTATGGGGGGGCGGGATTAAAAATTAGGATTTAGCAGCCAGGCGATTGCAGAAAGATGCTGCAGGATTTTGATGGAGGGTATAATGAGATAATCAGCAGATCAAGCAGCAAAACCATGCGCAAAGCTGACCGCTTGGCCCCCAGTCCTGTCTAACATTCCAGCTACCAGGCACTTGAAAGCAAAACTATTGAAAGAACTTGAATGCAGTAATGCCAATGGTTAGTCCATGAAAACCTTCAGAACTTGCTGAATATGCAGTGGAAATCCTACAAATCTTTCCGGGCCACTGAGAGTGATGTAGCCCTTGCCAAAATGGACAAGGATTACTGCCTCCAGCCTGACACCAATGCCAATAAAGATCTGGTGAGGGATTGGGCTCCAAGGTTCTGCCTCCTCTTGAAGCAGGTCAGCATTTTTTTTATTGCAGAAGTATTTTTTTGAGCATCTTCATGTACAATCACAAGTGCTAAAGAGGTCCTGTACAGAATTTGCATATCAAATAAAAACAAAGATTGGTACTTGACATTCCCTGCAGGTGCAAATACCAAAGACACTTCCTACTCATGCAGGACCCTATTTACATTGATAAAAAGACAGTCTGACAACTGAATGGACCTTCGTTGTACTGTGACAGGAAGACTTCAGACAGTGGTCTTTCCCCACTGTGCCTTGACAGTAGCTGCCCCAAGCTTTAGTGCGTCCCTTAGCACATAGTCCTGGACCTTGGAATGTGCCAGTCGAGGTCAAACCTGCACTGGAAGACCAACAAACTTTGGGCAGACCCAAGAGTGTCTTTCACCGAGTTGATGGTCCTCCAGCTGCCGTAGATGTTTGTCTTGGTATGTGTCCCGGGAACAGATGGTATAGCACAGAGATCCATGTCAAGGAGGTCCTTGGGATGAGTCTCAAAACAAACTACTGCATCTGTCTCCATGCCTTTTGCAAAGGCACATTCCAGAAGGAGATGTGTGACAGTCTCTTCAACAGCTCAGCTATTTCGAGGGCAATGTGGTGATGCACAGAGATTGGGTACGCATGAAGATTCTCAGGCAATGCCCTTGTCACCATCAGTCAGGTGATGTCTTGGTGCTTGTCGGAAAGTTCGGGTGATGGGGCATTCTGTCAAATGACTTTGACAGTCTGCTCGGGGAAACACCCACCAGGATCCACCCTCTCTTTTTGCCGCAGGGTCTTGAGGACACTACGTGCTGACCACTTCCTGATGGTCTTGTGGTCAAAGATAGTTTCTTTTATAAATCTCTCAATGAGGGACAGTTGGTACGGAATGATCCAACTACTTTGGAGGGTTCCACGGCAACAAGGCAAGTTTCATCCTTCACAACTGTGCAAAGTGACACTTGGTGTTTGTGTACCGAGGGTGTACGTACAGCTTGATGCAGTTGCACACAAAGGTGGCCATCAGGATGAGGCCAGGTTCTGAGGAAGGGACACAGGACCCCAAACGTTAACTCTGTTTTTTTCCTTCACAGATGCTGCCAGACCTGCTGAGCTTTTCCAGCAACTTCTGTTTTGTTTCCAGGATGAGCCTTCCATCCCAATGCTTGGTCTGAGCCGAAGGATCGAGAAAAGAATTGGTGTGTTCTACACTCTCTCCACAAATGCCATATGTAAGAAAAACTTGACAAGCTGACCAGCCATGTATGAAATGCTGCTGTGTCCTCACATGGATCATGAGACTTAAATTGGGTCAATCCTGTGGTGAAGGCTGGTAAACCAAGACAGTGTAATTATAGTGCTGGCTGGCACAGTTAATGGCTCCTGTTGGGCTCATACTGATTTAGAAACTAACAGACAGGAGTCTGCTCAGGTTGAGTTCACTGAAAAAGAAGGAAACATGATAATGTTTTCATCTGGGTACCTGGTTGGGAATTTCTGTGCCTAATTACGGAATCTCTCATCCCAAAGAATATCTTAATCTATTTGTTTTTTTTTTAGAATAAGGTATCATTCACGGGGTGTAAGTGTTGTCGACAGGACCAGCATTTGTTACCCAACACCAGTTGCCTGAGAGCTGGTGCTTGACTGCCCAAATTGAATTGCTGCGGTCCCTTTGGTGTAGGTGCACTCTCAATAGCGTTAGGGAGATGCTTCCAGGAGCTTGACTCAAAGACAGTGAAGGTGATATATTTCCAAGTCTGGATGGTAAGTGGCTTGGAGGGGAATTTGTAGGTGATGGAACCCCCATGTACCTACTGCTCCTGTCCTTCTAGATGGTAGTGTTGATGGGTTTGGAAAGTGCTGTCTGAGGAGCCTTGGTGAATTTTTGTGCAGTGGATCTTGTAGGTGCTGCACACTGCTTCTGCTGAGTGCTGGTGGTGCGGGGGGGAGTGAATGCTGATGGATGTGGCGCCAATCAAGCAGGCTTCTTTAGTGTCAAGCTTCTTGTGTTGTTGGGGCTGCACCCATCCAGGCAAGTGGGGAGTATTCCATCACACTCCTGCCTTGTGCCTTGTTGTGATGGACAGGCTTTGAGGAGTCAGGAGGTGAATCACTCACTGCGGTATTTCCAGCTTCTGACCTGCTGTTGTAATCGCAGTGTTTCAGTCCAGTTCAGTTCTTAGTCAATGGTAAACCCTGCGATGCTCATAAGTGTAGTGTTCATTCTTGCACGCACAGCAAGGCCAGATAATGCCTCAGGGAACCTTGCCCAACGCTATTGACATTTTGTCATTTTCATTTTAGATCCCTCTAAGGGAAGGTGTGTCCTACTTTGTACATTATCTAAAAACTATTTTAATAAAAATAATTAGAATTTCCGTGTGAAATGCCTTGGGGTGGTTTACTAGAGTATCAGTGTTGCATAAATCCAAATTGCTGTTCGGTGGCATTTCAACTTCTGATCTGAGGTAAGGCTGGAACCTGTTTGAGGAATGCTTCCTGCTTCCAGGACACTGCCTGGGAATTGGACAGAGAGAGCCCTTTGCAGTGTCTTCTCTAGATCCAGTCGTCATGGGTGGTGGGGGTAGCTTGCTGTCTTATTGAACACCCTCCAAAACAACCCAGAAAGGAATTAGTGATATCACATGTTTGATACAACCTGCACCTGTGCAATGGTTACCTGGTGATAGTTCATCACTGTCTCTGGGACCTTGCTGTACACACATTAGCTGCTGGGTTTCCTGCAATGCAGATGTGGCCACTTTTTCGAAGAAAATACGTGACATTACCATAAAACCATGACGTTTGGAAACTTGCTGACCCACCTGAAGCCTCTGGTGCTCTGTGTCTGTGTTCACCAATTTATTGGTTTTTTTTTTGGTGTCCAAAATGTGAGGAAATTGGCAAAGATTTTAAAACACAAAGAAATTACGAACCACGCACAAGACTGACATAATGGAGCTATTTCTGAGACCGTAAAGTGCAGTTGACACCTCTATTGATTGCCATGTTGCTTGTGGGTGCACAACATTACACAGTACCATTGGTTTCTGTTTTCTGTATACAACATTACACAGTACCATTTGGTTTCTGTTTTCTGTGTACAACATTACACAGTACCATTTGGTTTCTGTTTTCTGTATACAACATTACACAGTACCATTGGTTTCTGTTTTCTCTACATCCAGAAGTACTATGACACACAACTGAACAGTGTTTCCACCAGCAACCACCCAAACTATACAGTGCTGTTCTGTGCACTGACACTTTACCAACTTCACCCGAAATCCCTTAAACTAAGGATCAGTTTGACAAATGTTATTTTTTATTTATTCCACTCTTCTGCCTGGTTTCATTGTTTTTTATCTTGCACCTTTGTAGTTATCAAACCTTTGTTTGGAATCTGTTCCATTGGCTCTTATCATAAGACACATTTGTTGTTTGTGGTTTTATTGCTTGCAATGGTCTCCATCAATTAATCTTCACAAACTGCAGGGATTTATTGCAAATCACTTTGGGACACCTTGAGATATGCGGTGCTAACACTGACTGGTCTTGAATCCAATTTTGTCTCCTCTTCAATCATTGGCGAGGCCACCATTCTATTGCTCATGCTTTCAGTGTTGGCTAGGACAGCATGAGACCCTCTTAGTCTTTAGATTCCGCTCAATGAGTCTCCCAGAAGTTGAATTGATCAGGTCTCTGCTGCTACTGGGCAGGGGACAGAAATGGAGGTTGGACTTGGCAGCAGAGTCCATAGCTGGATACCTTCTTCATTCTTCAGACGGGACATTCTCCTCGTGGTTTTATGTTAAAACACCAGGAGACCCACGGTTACAGAAGAGCCCTCTTTATAAGGTAAATGCAACAATTTGCAAATGGTGGTCAAATATTGTGTTCAGCCAGAGTTGCTAATCCTCTGGGCTGCCCATCTGTACACAGGGAAGAAAAGACCGCATCATGTGATGGGTTATGTCATGCCCTTTAATCCAGTTTCAGACTCACCCTGACTCTCTGCCCACACTCAGGATCCTATTATGGTTAGCCCTACCCTTTAAAGGACACAGGTGTAGAGTTGATACCAATTTGGCACAGAATTGTTGATGACATTTAGG